CTCTCTTTCTTTCTTTCTCTCTCTTTCTTTCTCTTTCTCTTTCTCTCTTTCTTTCTTTTTTTCTTTCTCTCTTCTTTCTTTCTCTTTCTTTCTTTCCTTCTTTCTTCCTTTTTCTCTCTCTCTCTCTTCCCCTCTCCTCTCCTCCCCTCCCCTCCTCTTCCCTTCCTCCCCTCCATCTTTTTTATCTTTGAGACAGGGTCTCTGTCACTCAGGCTGAAGCACAGTGGTGCAACATAACTCACTGCAGCCTCAATCTCCTGGGTTTAAGGGATCCTCCCACTTCAGCCTCCTCAGAAGCCGGGACTACAGGTGTGCATCACCATACCCAGCTCATCTTCTTTCTATTAGGATGAATCAAGTAAAGATTTATCTGACACACCATTGCTTTGGTTTTAGTGGTCCCACTGACAGAGGAAACCTTGGAAGGGCTATCATAGGATTGCTTGGTACCACCTTATAGGAGAGCATTAAGAATGTCCAACTGGCTTCAACATATGCAGTGCTGCCCAGGCCCAAGACTATGACCTGAATTACTTTTGAAGTCCCTGCTATCACAGTCCAAGAAGCCACTAGCACAGTGTTTTCCAAACGTCAGTTATTTGTGAATCAGCTTCAGAATTTTTGCCATCACATCAACCATGCCATTAAATACTTAGTATTTTTCTTTCAATCAACCCTATTTTAAATAATAACCTCACCCTGAGTAATATCTATGAAATTAGGTTTGAGGGACTAGTTACATTTTTCCTAACATGTAGTAAATTAAATACATGTCTATCATGATTCAAATGCCAATGTACCGCCCCAAATCATCCTATGCCAATATGTTTCAAACACAGAGAAACACAGAGGTAGCAGTAGTAAAACCAGCAGCTCAGGAGGAGGATCAGGCCTTAGAGACTCACTCCGAGATGTGCTACATGCTCTCAGGCTCCCAGCATCACTTCATGTTTCTTCCAGGCCCTCATATCCTGTTGCTTGAGCACTAATTGCTCCTAAGATGATAAGGAATCCTCTTCCTCCAAATAAAACCCACAATTCAAAACTGCTTCTTAAGTACTGAAGTGAGAATACTTGACTGGGGCCAGAAGCTCTAGTTCCTCTAGTTCCAGTTTTGGCTGTGACCTTTGCCAGCTGTGTGTCCTTGGGCCTGTCCCTTTCCCTCTCTGGGCCTTAGTGTCTCTAACTATAAAATGAATACCTTGCTCTAAATGACCTCTAAGGTATCTTGCTGCTCTGAAATTCAATGACTCCTTGACTTACAAACCCCACACTCGGTGGAGTCCATTAGCTCCCTTCCCAGCAGCCTGCAGAGGTGAGGAGGCTGCTGACCTTCTCTCCCACTGCCTTTGCACCAAATCTTCCCCGAGGTCCGCTGCTCCCAGTGCACAAAGCTCCTTTTGTTGCCTGGAGCCATTCAGGACTTCACTTCAGGCTCCTGCTGAAATGGCCGAGGTGGCCTGGGGGGTAATAGTTTGCCTGTAACAAGAGCCCCTGCTCGCAACCCAGCTGGCTCCAGTCTGGCTGCAGGCTTGGCCTCAGCATCAGACTCATCCATCAGCTGCCCCAGACCCCTCCCCCGAACTCTGAGGGGGTGGGTAGACAGATTCGAAAGGTAGAAAATAGAAGCACGTACATTTATTTAACATGCTATTTGCTGTCTGTCACCTCCAAGGCTCAGAAGGGCAGTAGACAAAAATACTAAGCATATGAAAGTCATCATCATAATAATAATTCAGTCCACATCCTTTCTTTTGAAAATGACCAAATCATTCTTATAACTAAGTCTCGACAGATCTGGTCATTTAACATTTGTTATTTTACAAAGAACATTCACAGGGCATGGCTTATCTAACATTTGACAGATATTTTACCCAGCAACTTGGAATAGTATAAAGATCTACTTAGTTAAGGGGCATCTGGAATTTATTATCATTTGAGACAGGAAATCTTTTAACCATGATCTATAGTGAATTCAGTCAAGGTAAAAATGCTCGGCTGTGACTTGAGAGACCTAGGATCTAGTCTCATCTCCATCATTAACTCCTTCTGCGACCTTGAGTTAGTCACCTCTGCTGCCTGGACCTCAGTTTCCTTTTCTGTTAAAATGAGAAGGTTGAACTACAAGGTCTCAAGGTTCTCTGCACTTTGATTTCGCGCCCTGTAGCCCCCTCTCCTCCAGAAGTCAGGCTAAAAGGAAGG